TCGTGTCAATTTTATACGGAAATTTTTTTATTGCCTAACAATGAAAGATGTGTTAAATATATGTATGTGCAACTCTTTGAATTCCATATAGCAATCATGTAATTTTCAAATAACGATCTTGAAGGTGATATCTTTATTGTGTTTTCCTTGTTCCATCTCAACATTCTCATGTAAGTTAATAATTTTCCAAGTTTTTCTTAATTTTTCAAACATTGAATATAAATGAATCATAATCATGAACATTAACTTAATTTAACTTGACATTTTAATATTTAAAAGAAAATATAGTACTGGTCAATAGCAGACTTGTACAACATAACCATCGTGTCACTTTCATACGGAATTTTTTTTTACGGCCTAATGATGACAGATGTGTTAAATATGTGTATGTGCAACTCTTTGAATTCCATATAGCAATCATGTAATTCTCAAATGATGATCTTGAAAGTGATAAGTAGGAACAAGCAAATAGAAAACATTAGAAATTGTAATATTTGAAAAGTTAGGTTCATTAGTAATTAGTAATATCTTCGTAAATAATTTTAATATTCTTAAACTGATTGTATAATGTATTTTGCCTATGAAATCTTATATGGGACAAAATCTTTCTTATCATCATTAATGGTTTGTTTGGGAGATGACTACGGGAAGGGAAGGAAGGGAAAAATTTTCCTTCATTCCGTTTCCCATCTTTACCCCCAATTTAAGGGGTAAGATTTTAGTTCAAATTTCCCCCTCATTTCCATACTCTGCTCTTCTAAATAGAACTCTCAAACAAAGGTAAATTAAAATTTTCTTTCCCCTTCTCTTCTCTACTATCCATCCAAACAAACCATTAGAAGAGGTTTAGAAAAACTATTCTCATTTAGTGCAATATACTATATGGTAATGTTTCACAAACGAGTTATAGTAAAGACAAACCCAAAATAAAGAATCAAAGTATTTGACTGCTCTCCATGCATGTGCGTCCCACCTAGTTTCGATAAAAATTATTAGTATACTATTCATTTTATTTATTTGATTGTAAAAATTTAATTTATTCTGTAAAAATCTAAGATGAGGTACTCTATCATAAATCCAAAATTTTTTCATGCTTTAACACCTATGGATCTTATAAGTGGTTGTTCGCTATGCTTCCAAGTGTAAATGCAACAAATGTTGTATGCAGAAAATGCAACATATGTTTTTGAAAATTGACCTCAACCTTTTGTGTAGATATTTGTATTTTATTATAAAAAATGTATTTCTAAATCTAAGTCTATGACTTGGTTAGTTGTAAATGTTGGAAATTTGCATTTGATGTTGTGGGAAATGTATTGTATTGCAAATTCATTGCTTTGTTATTTATAACTATAGAGCTATGTTACCTGGGTACTTCTATTAGGAAGTCGTACTTGTACTTGACTTGTATCATATCCAAACCTCTTGGACACTTACTTGAATATATGCATATGTTTATTCTGGCTCATACTCAATTATATAATACATGGTGTTTTAATATAATACACTCATACAATTCTTGGATATATATTCTACACTTTGCATCTATTCCTTATATATTTATCTTATAAATGAAAATATAATATTTATATTATGTAAATTATTAATTTTAATACATATGAATATACATAACATGCTTATATAGCCATGTTCCCATACTCTACATTTTACAAATTTGCCATGTCCTCATACCCGTACTCATGCAACCTAGCTATAGTGTGATCTACATTTTATGAGTAGGAATTCAATGACATTTTATTAGTTGGCTACAGTAAATGGTGCACCATTTTTACAAAATGAAAAGTCAATGATTATCTCCAATTAGGTGGTTGACCAACCACTGGAAAATAAAATTTTACTTGCAGCTCTTGTTCTTATCAACTAGACACCCTAAGCAAATTCCCCTCTAGATTAATAAGTAGCTGGACAAATATCATTTCTCCTATGATTAATTGTTTCCTCAAAAATACATACATCTCAATTATTTAATACTTACACAACAAATTAACCAATGAAGAATACAAATAAAGGAATACAGATATTGAAAAACAAATCAAAGAAAATATTTTAAAAATACATCTCTACTAAAAAACGTATATATCATCACCATTGTTAATGCTCAAGTATCCTCCTTCAAGTTGGAAGGAGGCAAGAAACAATTCGTAATCAACTCCCACAAATTAAAATTAGCTTCCTCAATAATAATGACTCCTCCAACTTCATCTTATAATTAATAGACTCCTTTCCGTACCTAAACAAAGTAACCGCAGTCTCTTCACCATGAGCAACATTAGTCCAATTATTACACATAATGTTTGATCATAAACTTCATGCTTGTCTCCCCAAAAAATGCTCTCTCCTCTTTGTCCCACCTTATTTCGAAAGGGATGGTTATCTTCAAGCTTGATGATGAGACTGGTGCCTTGGCTGAAGTACCCTCACATTGTGTGGGGGATTAAATTGAAATTTGAGGCGCTTTGGGCTTTTAAGGCTTCGAATTTGGCTTTGTGTTTAAGGATGAAGCATTCTTCGTCGTTGATTATCTTTTCACCTATGCAGGCTGCTTGTGAGAAGAGGCTAGTCGTTGTCCTGGGTTCCAAACCCTAAGGGTAGGCTATACATCAGAGCATGTTTTGTGCTTAAGGATTAAGTAAAATTCTTGGGCACTATGGTCTACAATTTTTTTGGCTTAATAGACATCATTAGTATGTGATACGCTAAGATTTAGTCCACATTGGATATTGATTGAGTGATTGAACGGTTTATAATGTAAGTCTTAGGAGTCAAGTGCAACATTGACGAGTCAATTTTGACAGTGGATTGAGCTAAACTATGTATTACACTCAGTGGGTCCCACAATTTACATCGCATTAACGGGCTTACGGGCTCAGGGCATGATAAATGTTATTAGAGCGGTTAGCCAACCGGAAATGTAAAGCTAAGTGCTACACTACATAAGTATAGTAGGAGCCACCTCTAGAGTCTACACCATTTGGTGGTGATATTGAGATGACCCGATTGCCATGTCGGGATGAGGATGTAGCGTAATTAAGGTGGGGTGATTGTGATACCCCAAGAGTTAGTCCTATATTGAATATTGATTGAATGATTGAATGATTTATAATGTAAATCAAAGGAGCAAAGTGTAATATTTACTTGTTAATTTCGGTAGTGGATTGAGCAAAATCATGTGCTTCACTCAGTGGGTTCATCATTTACATTGCGCAAACGGGCTCGTGAGCATGTGATATGACATAGTGTATGAATTTGTAGCATATTGTCCTTGTAGTTTGGTTTTGACAAATATTCCCCTCAGTGTTTAATTTTAGCTGATTGAGTAGACAGTGAGAAAGGGAGGTTTGGAGATAATAGTACAAGGGCCTATCTGCCATAAATCTCTAAGAACTTTCAATCTCAGAGGGTCCATCATTTAAAATCAAACTATAGAGAGAACATGTTTCAAAGCGTAATCTATAGTTGTGCTATTAACCTATGCTTATCAAGTAAACTATCATGAATTTCTGAATATTATTTTAAATAGTCTTTTTTACTCAAATTAAATTAAATTAAGGGTTTATTGCAGATGGTTCCTTTGTACTAACCTATACTACATCATCGTGCTTTATATATTATTGGCATATACACCCACGATTATGGAAATCAAATAGTGTTGTGTAGTGGTGAGGCACCGCTAAGACTATTTGGAGCTATAGTGACAAAAAAGACAAAAAAATGCAAAGTCGAAAAGCAGCTCAGTTTAAATATATATTAACAAAATTTTTTAAGAAAAAAACTAAAAAATCTACAAATGCATATTTGATGATTTATAGAGATCCTAAGCATGGAATAGACATGTTACAATCACATAATATTAACATAATAATAATATTAACATAGTACTGTACATAATGAAAAATATTGTACAGAAATTAAAGGATTTGGCACCCATCAATGTAATAATTTCAGATTTTGAGCATGATTTAAATTTAAATGAATAACTAAATTAGGAGACTTGAACAATATATTTCAACAGAACAAGCTTCAAGTTTATTCAGAATACACAAAGGACTCTCATCTCATAAATTTTACAATTTTTATAGGGATCTACAACAGATGCATCTAAAACCATCAAAAACAGATTTTACAGAATTGTAAATTAATAACTAAAAATTAAGTAAATAAATGAACAAAGATGTGATTTTTTACCTTCAACTCCACGCGATGTTGAGGGTTAAAGCCATAGAGGGCTGAGGGAGTCGAGTCGTCGTCAATGACTATTGTGCTGAAGGAGTTGCTGAGGAGAGAGGACATGAGAGAAGAGAGGAGGTGGCGGTTGGAGGCAGTGGTAGGTGGCAGGAGGGGAGAGAGGAGACGAGAGGTGGCAAGGAAGAGCAAAGATCGAATTTTGGGCTTTCAGGATTTTTTGAGTCGAATAGATCGAGAGACGGAGGGAGAGAAACGATAGGGTTTGGGGTTTAATATTTTAATCGAGTTAGGTTTGATGCAGATTGGGTTAATTAGAAAATAAAACATATTCTAGAACCACTGTTAACGAGGAGTAACAAGCGATAAAAAGCGGCTTTTTACCACTATGTATACACCCCTGTTCCTAACAACTAAACTACGTTAGTTTTTAAAGTTCTGCAAGAATTACTTGAAAATGTTCTTAGAAAATATCTAACTCTATTCATCATGGATATAAATAGATTGAGATTAACAAACACTACATTTAATTAATTGAATTATACTTGAAAGGATCTTTATAATGTTCTTGGTTATAACTATAGTTGCGTGCAATAACGTTGTGGTATGTTAGTTACATACAAGTGTCAATTGCATGTGAGGACAATTATAAGATATCTGTTGCAAGCAAATAAACTAGGGGTGGCAAACGGGTCGGGTCGGGTCGGGTCGGGTCGGGTTATAGTTGACCCAACCCATATAAGTGAATAAATGGGTCAATATGATCCTACCCATTTATTAAACGGGTTACCCGACCCGACCCGAATAACCCAAAGATCCCGTTTGCCACCCACAGACATTCAAAACCATTCTCGAAAATTGACCACACCTCTAGAATTTTTTGGTAGCGTCTCGAATCAGCGATCGCAAAACCTTAACGTGTAAGGCTCCGATTAGTCCAAGGCCCATACAAAGAACCACTCGATCACTGCCACGTCAAAAACATATATGTTTGGTATTCTGTCTCCACAGCTATCGTAATTTGGACGGTACATTGTCAACTTTTTTATCAAATTCTGGATAAGATTGCTGACGTGCACTTGTACTTTCCAAAATTGTAAACAAAAAAAACCAAGTCGCCATTTGACCCAAGACTTAGACATGTGGGACCTACGAGCAGGGAGCGATTGGGTCAGTCTGATTTATTACCACAAATTTAATCCACTGATTTATTATCTTACTCTAAAATTATCAATTAAGACACAAATCTTCCAAATTTACCCTCTCAATCCCCCTAATTCCCCACTTATAGACAGTAAAATAGTTCCAAAACCAAGGGTATTTACGTAAGTAGATCTAGTCCCTCACTCATGCTGCAAATTATCCCCGCCCGCTGTCAGAGGAACAGGAAAAAATTAAGAAAATCATCGAAAGTTAGAGAAGAGAGCAGAGATTAAGATCTATAGTTGTCTGCAGGAGGTGACGAGATCAGGGCTCAAAATGCTGGCGGTGTTTGATCGGACGGTAGCGAAGAGCCCTGAGGGGCTGCGATCGACGGCGGAGGGCGGCGGCGAGAACGGCGGTTGGGTCGTCGCTGGTGAGCCATTTCTTGTCGGTGAAACAAGGGGTGATGACGATAAGCCTTGGGTCCTCTGTGCCTGAATCTATGGTTATTCGGGTGGGTATGTGTTATACGGGTCACAGGAGGTGACGAGATCAGGGCTCAAAATGCTGGCGGTGTTTGATCGGACGGTAGCGAAGAGCCCTGAGGGGCTGCGATCGACGGCGGAGGGCGGCGGCGAGAACGGCGGTTGGGTCGTCGCTGGTGAGCCATTTCTTGTCAGTGAAACAAGGGGTGGTGACGATAAGCCTTGGGTCCTCTGTGCCTGAATCTATGGTTATTCGGGTGGGTATGTGTTATACGGGTCAGGCAGGTCAACCCGAATTTACCCATTTAATAAATGGGTAAATTTGGGTTGACCCGTTTATGACCCGACCCATGTAATTCAACCCATACCCATTATAAACGGGTCGGGTCGGGTTGGTGGGTTGGGTCATAGATTGCCACCCCTAAAATAAACGCTACCTTCATAGATTAATTGAAGTCGAATGAAGTTTTTACCTTCAATAAGCATCACATGCGACTACTTAGACTGTTTCCATGCCACCTTACCATCACTTTTCTGTACTCATCTTGCATCCAACCATTATAAGCTCGCAGTAAAAGAGATCGGGAGTCTTCTGCCACAACACAAATCCTCGTTGGTCGCCTCGCTCTAGTTGCCCATGTGGATCTCTGACATGCTCATCTTCACCTTCCCTATTGCGTGCATGCTTCTTAGATTTTGTAGAGCAGAATGCCCTCCTGTTGCTACGATGTATTGTTAGAGGATGTATTTGGCCGTAGAAGCTTGTTTCAAGATCATCATAATAACCGTTGTTAATTTTGCATATATAATCCTTCTAGTTTCATTGTTGCAGGTAGACCCCTTGGTTATACATGCATACGTACATATGTACGTATATATATAGACTCTTTCACCCTTGTTAAATTTTGACAGATATTGCCTATGTGTGAAATTTGTGAGCCCATCTAAGGATAAAAAGAGTCAATAATTAACTTAGGTGGTCTATCTAAAACAATGTAAATACATGAATAGTTAAATCATGTTGTTTTGACAAATATTCTCTTTGACATGGCAAATTGCGATATCAAGTTATCATCATAACTGTTAGGATTGATTACATTTGAACCATTTTTAGTATCAATGTTTATTGTCCTTATAGTTTCATTGTTGCATATAGACTCAGGTTTAATTTATTACTCCTTTACCCTGGTGAAATTTTGACAAGCATTGCCTCTAGTGAAAATAGTGAGAATATCTGAGCATAAAAGAGTCAGAAAAATTTAATCCAGGATGTCTATCTACAATAATGAGCTATATGAATAGTGAATTTAACAGATTTGGAAGAATATCTCTTTGAATGAAAATAAATTCAAAACTTACAACAAAGCAATCGTGGATTGACTTGCTAAAAGCCTGATCAAAAGGCACTGGGCACGGAATGAGCGGCAAGCTAACAAAAGTAAGAAGTAGCTGCAACTTGGTGTTTGTACTGACAGGCGACGGTCCTTCAGTTGCTTTGTCGAAGGCCTATATTCTGAACCACGCTTGCATGTTCTTCCACTTCGCCAATGCAGTGTTGCCAATGCTTGCCAGTATCTTGTTTGGTAATTGGTACTTTTAACCTCGACACCGTGGCGGACCTGTCTTCACGATCAAGGTTAGGGCACAATTTTCGCATTGGGGAAATATCTTAATTGCTAGTCTTTGAGGAGGCGGTTGTGAGAAACACTGTTCTAGAACAAGAATTAAAATTTGGAAAAATAATTGTAGGATTAATTTTGGAAGAAGAAGAAGTGATTTGTTGTTTCCTTTCCTAGGTGGTAGCTTGTGGGAGAGTTTGATTAGGATGTCCTCGGTTCATGGGTGGCATGGACACACAAAAAGTGACTATGTTTGAGGGAGAAAATTTTAGAACTTTGCATGATAATTATTTGGAGTTGACCAACATTAAAAAAATTTCTTTCATTATTATTTTTGGATGGTTCTATGTCTTCTTTGTTTCATTAAGAAGTGTTTTCTATATAGATCCCCTATTTTTCATATTTAAAAATTCATTTTGATAATCATATTTATTTATTTATTTCTAATATCATTCTTCCGAATCTAAATTAATTTTAGATAAGTCCCACAAATCTCATATATTTTAAATAAGTCCCACAAATCTCATATATTTTAAATAAGTTCCCTAAACCTATAAGTTCTTTTAAATAAATCCCCCATTTAAAAAATGTTAAACTTAACTACAGCTCAACTAAACCGCATTAATCTTAGCCTATCTTGCCTTCGTCTTCCTTGGGTAGTCACATCCAATATCCGCAACAGGGTGCAATAGATTACTTCCCCACAAATAACAAGCAGGTGAAGAGATGTGGAGCGAGGGAGTGGTTGAGGAAGGGGAAGAGCGAGTGCAGGAGGGGATACTATAGGTCAAACTGTTGTTACTCAACAAACATAAACCATAGGTCAAGCTTCTCTGAAACTGTTGTTACTCAACAAACATAAACCATAGGTAAAAATAGCTAAGAAAGACGAGGGAAAAGATAGTTGGTACTATGAACTATAGTAAATTTGGAGTTAGGCTAAGAATTTTTATTTTGTAGGAACTAATTTAAGGAAGCTTATAGATTTGATATGTTAATTTTGACAGTATTAATTTTTGTTCTGACAGTATCAATCTTTATTCTGGTGAGACACGTATCATTATTTCTTATGCCCAATTGGTATATAAGGCCCGCGTATGCTCCTCTTTTTGAAAGCTAGTGTCTGTACCAGACGATAACTTTGGGTTCAACAATAAGTTAGGAGTCTGGGTATAGAAGCAAAGCTGAAGCCACTTGCTGTAAGATATAGATATTTTCCTAGTGCGAGAAGTAATTTTTTTATTGCAGTTAAAACTTGTGTTATAAATTCCTTCAGAAGCTCAAACAAAATAGGCTCAGATGAATAATTTGAATCACTATAAATCTTGAAGTAAAGGTCTGAGGCTACTAGTACCTTGCATGCAAATGGCTTCCTAGTTCATGCGGACTCTGTCTCTTCATATTCTATGTGAAATTGTGATTCATATATGGCGTTATTTGTTTTTCTTTCAGATTTAACCCACGTGTTGATTGAAAACTTGAATAATCAATAAGATGCTTATTGGTGACCAACCAGTTTTTGTAGAAGAGCCCACATTTTGAGATCTGATATCAACTTAACCTTGTTAACTTTTTTTTACAGCCAGATTTAACCCTTATGTGCTGATGGAAACCTGAATTAATCTAAATGAAATGTTTAATGTTGTGCTCAGCTCTACATCCGAAGTTTTAAATCATAGCTGATTTTAGACCTTTGCTAATGCTTGGGATTCCTATGGAACTTGCCATTCTCCACTTATTTCTCGCAACTGACCATTATACAAAATATTTAAGTATCTGATCAGTAATTATGTTATCTTAGACAGAAGAAGCTGCAGCAAGTTCTCTTAGTCTTGATGGAACGAAAATGTGAGATTTTATGCACTGCATCCAGATATTTCATCTTTCTCTTCCTCTTTTGTTTGTTTGTTTATTGTTGGTTTCCAGGGGAAATAGGTTCGTAAAGATTGAAAGATGCAGAGGAGATTCACAACGTAAGAGGAAGAGCGAGTTCCTGAGTGAACCCGAGAAGGTTGAAGGGTGCTTCTCGGCATACATCGGCAATCTCCCATATGATGTTACTGAAGACGACATAATGGACTTCTTTGAAGGATCCAAGATTGCTTCTATAAGATTCGCCTTCGACAAGAGAACAGAAGCATTTAGGGGTTTTGGCCATATAGACTTTGAAGACGATGAATCATTGGAAGCAGCCGTGAAGAAGAATCAGGTGGAACTACACGGGAGGCCGATGAAAATAGCTTATGCAGTCAGCAACAGGAGCTAAATTCATAAGGAATGTTTATGACTGGAGAGTTTCAGATGTATTGAAGAAATTTATACATCACACTTTTATTGGGATGTATTTGAACTACTAAAACTGCTGCTCTTGTTACCTGTCCTATTTTAAAGTTGAGGCTGCTTACAGCTGGAGTACTGGCGGACCTAATACTGACAGTAGCATGGATTACTCACCAGTCTCAGTTATATGATTATGTCAATGTTAGCAGTTGAGTGGTTTTTTTTTTTTCCGTAAGCTCTGTGGGACTCAAGGCGTGTGAAATTCCACAGCCAGATACACGTGCTTGGTTATTGACCCTGATTTTTCTTAATAATGCTTGTATTAACCATAGTTAAATATAAAAGCAGGCAATCATTTCCTATGACCAGCCCGAAAAAAGAAAAAAAAAAGGCTAAAGTAAAGATTCTTATAACCTTTGTTTTTTCTAAGAATTCTCTTTCCTTTCTCCACGGCCAGCTTTAGAGAGTTCCTAGAGAGGGGGAAAAAAAAAAGAAAGGTCAGCTTTGACCCTGATCTAGTTTTAGATTGGTTTGTTAATAGGTAAAAATTAGATCAGAAGTGGTCTAGTTTACTTTAGTTTAATTTTTGGCATCTAACTGGTTTAGTTGTGAATGAGAGGTACTAAACCAGTTTAGTCCAGAACCAATTTAAGGATCACGTGTGGTCCACTTTTCTTGAGTTGCCAAACGCACCTTGGGGGCTTCAGTTTAAGTTGGTTCATTTTTTGTTCTTTTTCTCATATTTGTTCTCCAAAGAAAATAGTAGACGTATGATAAAATTTGTGAAGAAGAAATTTTCTAAATAAACTCATTCATATATGTTTTTAAAAATCGACCCTATTGAGTTTTTTTTTTATAAAAATCGACCCATTTTCTCGCCACGTCAGCATCGTGGCGAGAAAATGGATCGATTTTTTTTAATATGGTTCCTAAATAGCCGGGGTTGTCAGCCCCGACTATTTAGGAGGTTGTAAAATCCCAATTACAACTCTAAACCCTAACCATTCTATGCACTAAATAGTCGGGGTTGGCAACCCCGGCTATTTCGGAACCGGATTAAAAAAAAGGGTCGATTTTTGTAAAAAAAACTCAAGGCGGTTGTTTTAACAAAAATATGAATGGATTTGTCTAGAAAATTTCTTCAATTTGTGAATTCAGTAAAAAGGAAGGACAAAAAAAAAACTATTAAATCTAAGTGATCGAAATCTAACCTTAATCCAACCTAATATTCCAGGGTCCAGGCTGGTGTCTGAAATCATGAGACCCGATCCAGATCGCCACCGATGCAGATCTCACTCATCAATCAATAGCGGAGAGAGGACCGGTCATCTCAGTTTCGGGTCCTGTCAAAAACTCCGCATCCGCCCCCGAGGAGTAATTACCCATCACGTGACCATAAAACCTTTTTCCTAAATCGGATTGGATCGCACGCGAGATTAAACAGAAAATAAATAACGATCGGGTAGAAATTACAAGCTAGGAGAGAGAAAAAGTCCGGGAAAAATAACCGGAAGGGGGGCAAAGTTTCCCTTCAGGAAGAGGAGAGACAGCTGAAGTGTTTTCACCGTCTTCAACCTCGACTATGGATCTGTCACTATAAAAAAGAAAAAAAAAAAATAGAAAAAGAAAAAAGAAAGGAGAATCCCTCCCCCAAAAATCGATGGACTCCTCAAAACCTAATTCCCCCTCCGAAGTCCCTCGCCCTAACATCTTCTCTCAAACCCCGACCGCTTCTTTCTCGACCCCCTCATCGTCCTCCTCCTCCTCCTCCTCCTCCTCTCACAAGGTCATCTACAGCGATCGCTTCATCCCCAGTCGAATCGGATCCAACTTCTCCCTCTTCGATCTCCCCCCTCCTTCTCCTTCCTCCGGCGGCAAAGAGGAAGGCTCCAGCACCTACTGCGCTCTCCTCCGCAGCGTCCTCTTCGGCTCCGGTCACGTGCTCTCCCCGTCGACCCCCGAGAAATACGCATCCATCGGGCCGTCCTCCTCTTCGTCCCCTTTCTCGACGCCCAGCCGGAATATTTTCAGATTCAAGGCCGAGGTTCCGAGGTTCTCGAGCTCGCCGGTGGGCTTCGAGGATCCTCTGCCTGGGATTGTGCATAGCCAGCCTAAGACCCCGAGAAAGATCTCAAGATCGCCGTATAAGGTTAGGAGAAGTTCTTTTCTCTTCTTTTTTTTTTCTTTTTTACTTGGACAAGATTGGAATTTCAAGAAGCCCTTTTGATTTGTTTTGATTTTTCTTGGGTTTTAGGTTTTGGATGCGCCGGCGTTGCAGGATGATTTCTATTTGAATCTTGTGGATTGGTCTTCGCACAATGTGTTGGCTGTTGGGTTGGGGAATTGTGTTTATTTGTGGAATGCGTGCAGTAGCAAGGTGAGTTCTTTTGGTCTTTTTAATATGCTAGTTAAATTTTGATGGTGACTGTTGAGTTTATAGGGTGGTTATACCGAGTGGTTTCTTGTAGGTGACGAAGCTCTGCGATTTGGGTGTGGATGACAGTGTCTGTTCCGTGGGATGGGCACAAAGAGGAACTCACTTGGCGGTCGGAACTAATTTAGGGAAAGTTCAGGTTAGTTGTTTACCTGTGTAATGTTTGTTTATTTTCATTATTATAGAAATTGTTTGGGTCCTGAGTAGATTGTGGACGTAGTATAGTTATTATGGGTTGGATGGGTAAATTATAATTTAATAAAGAGAGAATCCTGTCATAATTTAGTCGTGAATTTCGAGGATCGTTGTCCTTCCAATTTCATATTGCTTTCAGTAAAGAATGATTTTTAAGCTGTCAGAACCAAAGGAAAGTCACTTGGCTGTTGGATCTAATTTAGGAAAAGTTCAAGTTAGCTATTTCATCGTGCAGTATTTGTCTTTTTTCATTATCATAGAAATTATTAGGATTCTGGGTACATTGTGGATTTGGTGTATTTATTATGGGTTGAGTGAGTAACAGACAAAATTAGAAGTAATAATCCTGTCATAATAATCTAGTCGTTAATTTCGAGGATCATTCTCCTTCCAATTTCACATCGCTTTAATGATAATGGATGTTGTTTTAAGCTATTACTGCAAGTTATTAAGCGAAAATAGCCACTTATCTGGATTTGAGGTGTCATGAATCTCACTTGATATGTTTTAGTGTTTGATATACAAATCTTTATTTCAGGTTTAGATAGAATAATTTTAAATTATTTTGCTCGTCCAGTCTATTGCACAAACAGGGAAATGCACAGTATCAGTGTTGTTACTTTGAAAAAAAATGTGAAAGCAAAGAAATTGGCATAGAGTTGTTGCTCCATTTCTTGTTATCATAGTTGCTTTGGCATCTATTGGTAATATTTCTACAAGTAAATTTTCCGTCATTCCCTATAATTATCTATGTTGGTGGTTTCACGTTAAACCTTGAATCATGATTCAAATATTCCCTATGACTTTTTTTTCCTGTCATAAGCACCTCACTTTCCACATGAAGTATGTGATGAGACATTCGCAAACGAGCTATTATTATTACATCATGAAATCTGTAAAAAGAAATATTCGCAATATAATAATGCAATATTTGCAATAATTGCATGATCCGTTTCATAGTAACTCCACATAAATAATATGTTTCTTAATGCAGGCATGCATGTCAGATCAGGATCACCTGTTATCTTTTAATAAAGTATGCATTTCCATTAATAATTCTCACCTACTAAAAGAAACACGAAATATATTAAGATGACCTACTACCAGTAAATGGAATAAATATTTTCCTTATTATTGTTCTCTTTTTGGTGTAGGTGTCAATAGTCAAACATGCCAATAATATAGCTTCCTGTGTAATACACGGGAATAATAAGAACTTTTTGTCTCACTTCTATATTACCTCTGACGTTTGAATTCCTTAGATATGGGATGCATCTCGATGTCGGAGGATAAGAACTATGGAGGGCCACCGCCTACGAGTTGGATCTCTAGCGTGGAGTTCATCAATGTTATCTTCAGGCAGTAGAGATAAATCAATACTTCAACGTGATATCCGTGCTCAAGAAGATTTTGTTAGCAAGCTGACTGGTCACAAGTCAGAGGTAATCTATACTTAAGTGCTGTTGATAATGATACCATATCATCTTTTGTATACCTGCACCTTTGTGTTTTGTTCTACCTGACACTTGTTCTTTTCCTTGGGTTTGGCTGCTGACATGCAAATATATAGGTTTGCGGGTTGAAGTGGTCCTATGATAACCGTGAGCTTGCATCTGGTGGAAATGATAATAGAGTATGTTCCTTTCCTTCTTTTTCTTGTTTGGATGAAATAAATACTTTCAATATATGATGATATATTTAGGTATAAATCAGTTAACATATTTCTTGATCTCTCGTCTGACAAATATGATTTCTTTGTTCAGCTTTTTGTTTGGAATAAACATTCAACACAGCCCGTACTGAAGTATTCCGAGCATACTGCAGCTGTAAAAGCTATTGCTTGGTCTCCTCATTTGCATGGGCTTCTTGCTTCCGGTGGCGGCACTGCTGACCGATGTATTCGTTTCTGGAATACCACCACAAATACTCATCTGAGCTGTATGGATACTGGAAGTCAGGTAGGTTACTATTCATTTACTTTAATTGTTGTATATAAATTTATTTCCATAATTTATAGTTACATAATTTAGTCTTAGTGAGTGAGATATACATAAGTAGGCTGACTTATTTCATCCCCAGAGCCTCTTAACCTTTAGTCAAACAATATAGACATGGTGAGCTTTTTGGTTTGGTGGGTTTACTATTTTGTAGATTTTGTTCTGATATTTTTGTTGTTTAACGTAATTAATATTTTTCAGCCTGTGTCCTATACTACATTTTCCTCCTTTTTAAGTAGAATTTTCTGTAATTATGTGCGGTACCTACTGTAAGCAGTTACACAATAGATCTAGTGGAGAATGATGTTTGTAAAATTAAATTACTTTTTGGAATTCCTGAAATGCTTATTCTACAGAATAAAGACTTTTAAACACCTTTTCACTAGTAAAAAGTTTTAGTGCCTATATCTTGGTGTCTCTTGAAAAGCCTACCATCATATTTAGTCAGACTGCAGTTGATAATTGGATATATCATAAGATGTTGATAATTGCATTAATAAACTGGAACAGATGCTCCATACAAATATTTAAAGCATATTATACAGAAAAAACTACGAAAAAGGAAGATAATGTACCTTCAATTGTTATTTTTTGTATTCTTTGGTCTGCTTCTTTTGATATGTTTCGATGCTAGTGACTTGGTGATAGAAGCATCAGTAAGAAAGGTTGTTTCTTACTTTCTATATATTTTCAGTTGCCTTTTGTGCTTTCCATTTTTGCTTCACTTCCTCATGTGCTTCGACATCACAATCCACATTGCGGCAGGTAAGAATTTTGTCTAGATGATGAAATAGGAAGAATGGACAAGCATTTTCAGAGGTCGTAATCAATAAATTTAAGTAAAATGACAAGAAAGAAAATTCAACTGGATATTAATATCACATTCATTAAGAAGTTCTTAACGTAACAGCTAGTAATGGGAACAAATGACATCTTTCCTTTCATTATTTTTTGATAGAAAAGAACTCGTTCTAGATTGAAGAACATGATAAAAGCATCGCCTTGATGACAACATACTATGCCATTGTTGAACCTCTCAATCATCTCGGAAAAGTTATTCAAATTTGAAGATTTTATTAAACCAGTGAATGTGCAAAATTCATCTAAATTGATTCTTGGGCTTGTATAGGTTGCACACATGTCTGCACATTTATTTATTATGTAGCAGTTTAGACTAGTTGGTAAGAGCCTGTAGGAGCCACATCTAGAGTTCACATTGCCTAGTGATATTGGATGTGCCAATTGTCATGTCGCGATGAGGATGTCGCTTATGTAAGGGGGGTGATTAAGAGACTCTTATTTGGTCCCACATCAGGAAATGAGTGAGAAGTTAAGTTGTTTAAATAGATAAGCCCAAGACTCAAGTGTAACATCGGCTAGTCAATTTTAGCAGTGGTTTGAGCCAAACAATGCGTTACACTCAAGTGGGTCCCACGGCTTGTACCGTGCTAACGGGCTCATGGGCCCGGAATATGATAAATGATATCATAGCAGTTCACCAGCTGGAAGTGTGAAGCTAAGTACTATGAGGGGCTGTGCTACATTGCATGAGTGCGGTGTGAGCCACTTCTAAAGCCCGTGGAAGTCACCTCTAAAGTTCACATCGCCAGGCGTTAAAACTGGGATGTGTCAGTTATCATGTCGCGACGAGGACATTGCTTGTATAAGGTGGGGTTATTGTGAGAACCCCCAAATTTAGTCCCACATTGGTGGGATAGTGTGAATGTATAGTGTTTATATAGTGAAGCTAAAAGGTTCAAGTGTAACATCGGTTAATCGATTTTGGCAGTAGTTTGAGCCAAACAATACGTTATACTTGGTGGGTCTCATGGCTTGCACCGTGCCAATAGGCCCGTGGGCTCGGGGCATGACAACATTTTCTTCTGTTTCTCCCTTTCTTCCACTTGTCCACTGTTTTTGGTGTTGACTCTCAATCCTCACTTCTCATCCCCAAAGAAAATTTTAAAAAAGAAGTCCACTCCCTGTTTTTTTCCTTTTTCTTCTCTTTTATCTTTAGTTTCCCCCCTTTGTTGCTTTTTGAATGTTTACTTCTTTGTGTGAAACTGTGAGTTTCTTCTTGTTCTTATTTCTTCTGTTCTTCTCCTTCGTTCTTTATTATTTTCCAGTTTTTCTCCTTTTTTTGGGGAATTGTGGGGTTGGACTGGGTGAAAAGAAGGGAGCCGTGTTTATAAGTAGTCCTTTTGATCTGTGACTATTTGATGTAGGTGATAATGATGTCTTATAGTTACAAATGCATGGATAAATGGACTTGTCATATGACCTGTTACTAGCCTGCAACACTTGATTTAGGATATTTGTATTTATAAAACTCCGAGCTATGAGTCTAGCTTAGAGATTCTGAGAAGCTTTCTGAGAAACATCTATTAATAGAAATGTATTATAGAAAGATCAGTCTGTTGTGCTAAGAAAATACCCTATCATGAATGGGAAGAGCATAATTAAAACAGATTTTATACTCCATACTGATGAGGAAGGAATGTGAAACTTGATTTTCCCAATACCAATATCTGGCGGTTTGTGCATGACTTTGAGGCCTTTCTTGAGAATTTTGTATTCCACGTATATTGAGGGCAGCTTTGTCTCTCCGAACTATGCCTAAATTCCTCTAGCTTGTTGTCTGAACTTCTATTTTATCTCAATACAATGTTGTTATAACATATAGGCTTACAGAAAGCCCGGTAACAAGAGTAGAACGGGAAGGGGCAAAAGCTAGAATCTAGAGATTGAAGAGTGACTGAACTAGCTTTTTTTGTGATCTGTACAACTATTGTAAAGACCAAGAGCTTAGGGATGTGCGTTAAAAGTGTTCAATAAGATCTCTTGTTGCAATTATTTAGTTTATTATTACATAATCATCACTAGGTTGCTACTTTACCGTAGCTTACTGATGGAGTTCTATTTAAGATATTTGAGGAAGAACTTCCGCTGTAGTAGAAAGAACAGTTCGAGTCAAATTTAATGGTATGGCTTGCTTGAGATATGCGGAGTTTGCTTTCGGATTTTAGATTTTTGGATACATGATCCTAAGATGCACTCGGATCAAACTACTCAGAACATCAGCAACGTGTTTGTATAAACATGTGAAATTGATTAGACATTTCTAAAGTGTATTCAGGAATTTAAAGAAGAAAATTTAATGTTATCTGAAGAAGTCATGTCATCTTAAATTTGTTTGGTGTCAGTTGGAAACTAGGATTCAATATGAGCCAACCCAACCCAATAGAGTCAATATGGCATGTTACACTTTGTCATTTTAAATGTGAAAAGTAAATAGCAAATTTTTAATATACACATGGCAGAAGAACAATAACAAGATAATGGATTTGTGTGCTGCATGCATAGATCCTTTATTTTTTTTGTTATCATCAAGTCATTAAAGAAGCATTCAACATTTACCTCATGAGCCTTAAGCAATGTGGTGATCAGAAATGCCAAGTGTTTGTTTCCTGGCCAGTATCACCTTATTTCATTGAGGGAAAAAGGCTTGAGATTTTGAGCAAATTCTACTTGAATATTCCATCAAAAAACTGAGGTAGAGAATCATTCTTATCAATTCAATAGGAATGCATAAAAATCATCTAGTACTTCAAATGATTATATTTATCTCTTTTTTCCCCTAAATTTGATCTCTATTTTCCTTCATTGATTTGATTCAATCCCTTGAGATGCAAGGAAGCTTCATGCATAATCACTCATCCATCTATTCCAATAGAGTCTGAAACATGGAATCAGTATTATACCATAAGATCCCGCTAGAAATAAAAAGTGTCGGTTACTAAATACTAGACAAAGCCTGTGTTGGGATTTAAAAGTTCTCTTTGGTACAGGATAATTTTGCTAAATCTGATCTCCTTTCATCCTTTGAGATTTAAGAGTTGCTAAAATGGATCCAGATTGAACATCAGCTACAAATTTTTCACTTCTTCACCTCTTTTAGCTTCCTTTGATCTCTAGGAATGAAAAGATTTATCTTCACATTACTCTATAAGTCTCCATTTTAACCCTTTTTGGCAAATGAATCTCCGCGAAATTCGACATGCAAGAATCATCACGCATCCTTCATGTCACCTTATTCATCTTCTTACCAGCTGAAAGTCATATTCTGCCAGTTCCGGGTAACCTATTCCCAATATTTTTGAAACTAGGGCAAGACCTCAACCTCATAACTTGGTTTTAACATACAGTCATTTTCTTCCATAAATCAGCAATATTTCAAATCGTTGGAGGCTTCTTGCCTTATTTTTGCCGTTCTATGCCCACTGAATAGAGTGACTAGTGTATTGTTGTCATATCTGTATTGATGTCTGGCTGAACCTTTTATGTTCAAAGCCATGTGAAAGATTAAACCTTATTTGTTTCGTGTCCATTCTTGTGCATGTGCACACACACTTTAAGTGCATGTTTAAGAAGAAAATTCATCCATCTTTTCTTTGTTACCTTTTAGCTTAAAACGTTCGATTAACCCTTTGGGGTGCACTACTTTTGAAAGTATATTACCAAAATCTTTCTATGAACACCCTTAAAAAATTGATACCTAGGCATCATACAAACATATGCATGCGCGCGCGCAAACACACACATCACTGTGTGGAATCGATGATGATTCAACTTGAAGGTAAAGGAATTTCTCTGAAATTATTTACATAGGTTTATGATGATTCAACAGTATCAATATGGTAGCTTGGTAAGGAATATTTATGAAATTATTTACATAGAAATCTTCATCAGCGAAGATAGAGAAATTAAATTTTCATGAAAACTTGCAGGTTTGCAATCTCGTATGGTCAAAAAATGTGAATGAGCTTGTCAGTACCCATGGCTACTCCCAGAACCAAATTATTGTATGGAGATACCCAACGATGTCCAAGGTGCTTCATTTTCCATATGAGCTGTAACTTATATCTCAAACTTACTAACATCATCTGCTTTTGTTGCAATCATACTATGCTCATGCACTTGTTTGCTTCATCTGCTATTGTAGCTTGCGACTCTTACCGGTCACACATTCAGAGTATTGTATCTTGCGATCTCACCTGATGGGCAGGTATTATCCAGGCATATAACTTCTATGATTATTTATTATTTGTTTTTGGTGTATTTTGAGAAAGTTCTTTTATTTGATTTCATCTTCTGTTATTAGACCATAGTTACTGGTGCTGGAGACGAGACACTGAGATTCTGGAATGTCTTCCCTTCTCCAAAATTTAAGGTGATTATTGAACAGTTGAGATGTTCCTTTTATAACAATTATTCTGCATCTGTTGCTTCATCTACTGTGATCACTATCCTTATTTTTTGACAATGCTGATTATAACTAATCCAACTTCTTTGTTTCTTAGGGGTTTGTAAGATGTAGGTTGTTAATAATTAGCCTAGTTGGATAGAAGTCCCTCTGAAACGTTTTATTTGACGCAAGTATTTTAAGACGTAGGGCCTATCTACTACAAGTCCTTTTGGAGCACTATTGGACATTTCAAATTCATCTAAGGGGCTCATATTCAACTATCAAGTTTGTGGGGGCTTAGTACCATGATAAACTAATAATTTGGAGGCTATATCCTAGAATTCCTTTTTTATCATCTACAAATGTGCGAATCCAACTTGTGTCTTCCGATGAGATTACATCTTCTCAGAAGTCATAGACGCTCCTTTCACAGGTGCACTTCTTCCCTTGACCTTTGTTCCTAACCAGAAGAGAACATGTGAAGACTACTAGAAACTTTAGTTTATCTCATGCTTTATTCTCATGCAACATGTAATCATCAGGTAGTGCCTATTCTGTCTGCAATATTGCCCTAGAATTATATGGCTCTTGTTTTTTTGTTTATCTGAAGTTTTATTTTACCCTATCATATTATCGAAGTTGCTATTTTTTTACAGATGTACTTTTCTCCTTAGTTTTCACTTCTGCTACTCACACAATTAGCAGATAATGACGTATTATACCTACTTTTATTTTTATGACAGAGCTCGGACAGTGACATTGGATCCTCATCCTTCGGTAGAACTCAAATAAGGTGACCTCTGGAAGTATTAACTATGGGAAGCTGTCTAATAATTAAAGTTATCACGCTTGGTATTATTTATCAGTTGGCAAGGTTTTTGGTTGCATTTGCTTCACCATTGTCAGCAAGAGCAGACATGCCATTATGTTCTGCTGGCTTTCTTCATCCGCTGGTTAGTATTTTCCATAATGCCAGTTCTTCCACCAAGACATCTAAAAGAAAAGGGAAAAGGAAAAAAGAAAAAAGGGGGAAAAAAATGGAATCTAAGCCACAGAGCAGCACTATTGTATATCGTCCTCTTGTTTATAAGGTGCAGATTCTCATTTAATTAATTAGCTGCATACATGTACTGGGAACATGTAACAAGGTGGCGGTACCCTCTCGTGTACCGTTTGAAAGCTTCAGCTTGTTCCTCGTCTCCAATCACCCGGAAGTTATTTTGTATCTATATCAAAATTAGTGCATGTCTCTTGATGTTCCAACGCGCTATACATTGTTCTTGCTCGATATTTATCTTACTTATACAGCAATCAATACCGGAATGTTTGAGGCTGATGATGGGTATAGCGATTTTCTTTTTTTTTTGGTTTTTTTTTGTTTTTTTTGTTTTTGTTTTTTTGGGAAAAAGAAAACAAGGTGTTACGAGATGCCTACGCTTTCTATTAGTATTATCTACAGTTGTTTCTATCAAATGATTGCATGTCTTTCATTAATGGAAAATCATTAATTTTGTGATCATCAGTCAATAAATGGGCTAGAGACCTTCAAATTAAATGTTTTTTATTCGTTAAATTTTCAGGAAAAGGAAAATTTTCTGAAAATTTCGATCATTTAATAGGTAGAAACTGAAAAATGTATATGGCGTGCCTTTCAGACTTAGTCCTTACCTTTGTTAATTTCCTCTTTATTGCTTGCTAAATTATTTTGTTATTGCATCAAAACTTTGAAACTAAGTAAATTTCTGAAACTATGGTGAAGGCCGATAGTTATAGTTTTATACTCGAAGAACAACTGCTCTGATATGAATCCATAGAATTTGTCATGAGAGAACATAATGTTTATCTCATGGGTTAGTATGAGCGCAGGCGTGACGTTCTTAATTATATCAAAAATTTCCTGGTAGACAGACAATGTAAGCTCTTATGTCAAATTGTTTTAGCCGCGAAGGGCACTACACTTGCTGTTTTTCTTGAAAAAAAAAATATAAATAAAAAGTTTCAAGGGGTTTAAACCATATTGTTGGCCCTTGTCTATACATTTTATGTTAGTTATAAAATATAAACTACCCGCATGTAAGATCTTAGGCGAACGACACATCCTCTCAGAACCATCCGCACGAAGCAACTTTGTTGCCCTCCTATTTGCACACGGATGGTCAGAACCGGCGGGTCAAATAAGAACAATACTCATAAGTTGCAATCAGTGTTCCTACCTACGAAATAGTGTAGGAGTTACAGTGTAGTTAGTTAGTATTTCCCTTTATTCAAACGCGACTAAATGCCAGTTAAATACCGTATCGTTTCACCACTTTTACACTTAAATATCCAAAGTTGTAAAATGTAGCATAAAAACACCCCAAGTTGATAAAACGTAGCACATTGCTACCTTCTGTTAAATAGGTGTCAGAATATTCCGAGGAATACCCCCATGTACTTGGCCCATAGGAATTTTATTGTTCTATTGCCCCAAATTTATTGCTTTAATTATCATTTTACTTGCCCCTTCAATTTATTATACTACCATTTTAATGGAGGGCATTTTTATCAAAATAGGTAATTTTTTTAACGGTGTTAGCCTAATTCTAACGGTATAAGACAACTTGGGGTATCTTTATGCTACTTTTTACAACTTGCGATATTTAAAAGTGTAAAAATAGTGAAATCGATAGGGTATTTAAGTGCCATTTAGCCTCCAAACTTTTGTTTTCTACGACACACGAGTGCGTGTACAGTCTGGGGCTGCTTTGCATCTTGGATGTACCTAAAATTAGCTAGCGCCTTTAGTTTCTGGGTCCCCATATATAACTCTGGCTCTTCTAAACAATGATTTGCTTTAAGACTTGTTTTGGTTGCTGCCTAATTGAAGGTAAAACAATCATCAGGTTTAAAAGGACATCAGACCAATCGTCAGATCATTAATATTGTACACCTCTCTGACTGTAAACACGCGAAACATGATGGAAATTAAAACCATTCCGTTCTTTACTTGGACACTTCTTTCGTCGTTTCTCTAACAAAATGGCAACGATATCTTGGTCGGTTGGAATTATTAGCCAAAGATGTACTTAACCCCGGATCATATTAATCTTTCTTTAAGGTGTGTTTTGGACTTTTTTCTATTTGGCAAAGACTTGGCTTCGGCTAGCATGGTTTTCCTTGGACCATAAACAAGTCATAAACTAGAACTAGTCTTGATCCGTTTAACTGATCGTTGCGCTTTACACAGCGTTTAATCATCCTTAATTAATAGAGTTGAGTGGCTTTAAATCCCAGCAACCGGAAAGCAGCGAACCTGTAGGTGGACCAACCGATGTGGGCCCCGCTTACTATCCTAACCGACAAGCCCAACCACTGTAGCAGGGGCTAGTCACATCGCCCTCATTCTTTCTTCGGCCGTCACCTTTTTTTCTCTCTTTATTTTTTTGCTTTATTTTCTTTTTTTTATTAAATTACTATTTTGCTTTGGTGAGACAAGTAGTTGTACTTGCTTCATCCTGACCAGGAGGAGTGTTGAACAGTTCTGCAGGTGAATTAAACGCCTTTGAGTAATTAAAAAGAAAGAGAACTTGAACCGAAATTATCACCTGTAAGTGAAAAAGCCTGTGATTAGTTAATACTAAATTTCAACAGGGTACGGCCATTTCTGGTCGACTGCTTACAGAACTATGATTCACATCTTTATTCACTTAATACGTACGTAAATTTGTGTAAATTTTATGTGAATTATTTTGTTTTTTTTTTCTTCCAGAAAACTATTGTAAATCTCTACTTATGTGAATCAAGAACCTTTAATGATCTTTTAAAAATAATCTAAAACTTTATGATATTTATTTACTGTCTACTAACATGCTATATTAGCGAGATGAACTCTAATTACCTTATTAACACAGCAGTTAAACGCACATTTTGTTGTAATTAATACTTACATTTAAACTAATGGCGAATTCATGGTGGCACTCACGATGCCACTTCAACTCTTTTTGCCTATTCTTTTTGCTACCGTCATCAATAACGAGAGCTAGCTGACAATATACTTACACTCGACTAAACATATACCCGAAATGTGATGACTTTTCTACCAGTTGTTAGGCCAATTTTTCTAATTACAATTAGTAGATGTTAGAGAAGAAAATATCTCTCGTCTGTCAGTACAACTTTAAGAGTTCTCATATTGTGGAAATCCAACCGAAATGATATTGTTGGAAATGGGAATCATCAAGTCGATCTAGAGGGAGTGAATGAGATTGATACAAATTTTTCTGACAAACAAAAAAGTATACAGTGGAAAATAAATAATGAAAAACTAACAGCAACCAAACAAGAACACAAGAGATGTTTAATTATAATGGTTTGGATCAAAATTCTATATTCACTCTTCCTTCTTGCGAATGGCCTTTTTATGTAGAATGCACCGCGGATATATTCATGGAGAACAGCACCGTCAAGAGCCTAAGCGCGGGCCCAACAGAGGAAAATAGTTTGCAACGATGAAGGGTCATATCTCCCAAACCGTACGTTGAAATTGGACGAATTATATATGTAAATCGTGTATTTTTTGAAATGGAGCCTATCAAACTGATTGTTGTTCGGTTTGTCACCATTTGTTTCACAAAATTCCCTCCAAATTGAGAGATATTATAGTTTTTGTTAGTTTTTTTTTTACTATTTTAGGTAATGTTATAGGAGTCTGTTTTGATTAGGAAACAAATACAATTTGATTACAAATTTGACTAATTTGCTTCCCCAATTATAGGGAGCCTTTTAAGAAAAGTTTTGTTATTTTTATTTTTAGTAAAGTCCGGTTCTTAGTAGAAGTCTTGTTTATTTTCTATTTAAGCAGAGGATTGTAAACCCTAGATGCATAACTTTTCATCAATAAATATTCTCTTTTACTATTTTCTTCGTAGATATGGAGATCGTTTTTTGTGGAATCAAAGAGCACCCTTTGGTGGATTCTAATGTTTTCACTTCTGCACTGTGTTAATTGGTATTAGAGCCTTGTTTCTCTAATTCGATATTGGGAGGCGACGAAGCCCCTATTTTTCGAATTGAGTTTGATGAGTTGAAGGCCGATGTTAATCAAATTAAGACTACCATAGACCGACTTGCATTGGCAATGGAGAGACTTAACATGATAGGAGTTTAAAATCACATTGATGATCGCCAACGAAGTGATTTGACTTAATAGGATGAATTCAACAGCGATAGTGATGACTATGAAGCCTCACACGTGGTCATGACCGCAGAGATCACCGATGATAGGACAATTATGGTGCCGAAGGGTTGAAGATGAAGATGGATATACCATCTTTTAACATGCAACTTTATATTGAAGAATTTCTTGATTTGATTGCAGAGGTAGAGAGGTTTTTCAAGTATATGGAGATCTCAAATGAACGGAAGGTTAAGCTACTGGCCTATTGACTTAAGGGTGGAGCATCTTCTTCGTGGGAATTAGTATGCATGAATCGATCTCGTCAACGGAAGCCGAAAGTCGATAAGTGAGAGAAGATAAAGAAGTTGTTGAAAGTTCGTTTCCTGCCTAGTGAATATGAACAAGTCTTGTTCAAATAATATTAGAATTACAAACAAGATGGAAAAACAGTTGATGAGTACACACATGAGTTTTACCGGCTATCATCCTATAATAATTTAAATGAGAATGAAGCCCAACAGATATCTCGTTATATCGGGGGATTGAGGACAGTGATTTAGGATCATGTGTCCTTACAGAAGATATATACTTTGGCATACACGGTTAGCCTATCCGAAAAGGTGGAGCAATAAGTTGGATGAAACAATCGAGGATCATGGGCAACTTCCGATGGTTCGTGCACGAGTTATAATTATGGTAGGAATAAACAGTCCCAATTTGCCTCTGATCAATATTCTACAGCTAAGAAGGGTATAGGATCGACAATAACAACAGTAAAGAAGTCTACACTAGCAAACCCATATGCTAAACCCGATCCAATCAAGTGCTACAGATGTGGTCAACCTAGTCATCGATCCAATCAATGCGCTACAAGAAATACTGTGAATATGGTGGATCATGGTGAGGAGGATGTAGACCAATATGATGCTAAAGACTATGATAATGAGGAGGTTGAATATCTGATAAGGATCAACTTTTGCGTATTGTGTGATAATTATTATTGGCTCCAAAGATAGAAGAACCACGCCAGGGGCATAATATCTTCCGCATGAGGTACACCATAAAACAGAAGACTTGTGATGTTATCATTGATAGTGGCAGTAGTGAGAATATTATCTCTCGACATATGGTGGAGAATTAGGTTTGAAGACAGGTAAACATCCCACTTCCTACAATATCAG